CTCGGCCTCCCGGGGCCACGGCGGCAATGTTGTTCACGACGGCCCGGAGAAATGGGACTGAAAGGACGAGTCCATGTTACTCTTTGCCCCCCACCCCCGCGCTGCTCCGTTAGCGAAGCTGTCAGCCCCGGGCTCAGTGCACCCGTCCCCTAGGAGGCAGCGTGGGACCCCCGCTCGTTTCATGGGGCCACTGAATGCCTATTTGTGGGCATTGCTTTCCCTCAAGAACATGCAACCGTCTCCGCAATAATGCTTCAAGGTGATTGTGGTGTATAACTGATGATGTATCCTTGCCTGGGTTATAAATCCTCTTAGGGTTTCCCACCATGTCCTTGTCCTCAGCCAGGGGAGCATTAGGGACAAGACTTGCCCTTCTCCCACAAAGAAACCCTTCAGGGACACCCACATGGATGGCAGTTCATGGCAGACTCTTCCTCCTCTCCAAGTTCCCCCAGTATTTCCCATCCAAGCTCTGCCTCCCAGCCTGCCTTTATCCCCACGTCATTTCAGTGCCACAAATGATAGAGATTTGAAGATTCCCTGTCAAAAAGAAACCAAGCCCCCAAACACCTAACAGGACCCACACGTATTCAAGAGTAGGTCCCAGCAATGCAGACACCAGGACAGCACGTACTTTCATGCTCTGAACATCTACAGCCTGCTGTGAGCAGGGTTCCCTTTCGGTGGCTTGCAAGGGTGGAACGTAGCCTATGAATCTATGAAACGTATTTTGTGGGTGAAGTTTGGCAGGACAGCATGACCTCCCATCCTTCCTCTTCTCAACTGGATCTCTGCACTAGGTAGACTCCTGGATGAGAACCTGGGCAGCTCTGCCCAACCCACAATGCATGGTCCTTGCTCGGCATCCTCGGCACAGCCAGCTGTGGGAGACCCAGCTGCCTCCGGGCATACTGTCACCCTGAGGAGTCTCTGCTCCTAAGGGTCCTAACTGCCACTGCTTTGCTCAGAGAAAAGTCAGCTTCAGGTCACAAGCTGGTTCAGCATCAAACACATTTATTTCACTTTTATTGAATACAAGAACAGTGAGCACACACGCATACATCACCAAGCACTGAAAGGGATATGATTGAAGGGAGTGGAGGAGAGAAGAGGAACCAGGGAAGAGGAAAGGGGAATTAGTGAAGGAATGGCAGAGCATTGCAGTTGGTTGGTAAGGTGCTTTTCAAATAAAAATAAATATTATTATTATTAGTACTCATGCAATTGCAGGCCAATTCTGGAATGAACTTGTGGGACTAGGTGTGAACAGGCACTCAAGTCTCCCACCTCCTTCGATGGAAAGGCCCCCAGATGAAAGAAAAAGAGTGATCAGCTACCTTAAATATCAGCAACGGTAATGAACAAGGCAGAAGAAAGCCAAAACTTTCAAGGGGCACCTGGCTTCAAATATGATCACAAAGAATAAATATTCTGTATATATAAAATCCATACTTTGCCAGGTGAGCAAAAGACTCCACTTTTTTCTCCCACTTTTTTCATTGTCACCCATCAGATACGCTGGGTTGAAGAATCCAGAGAACTGGATTCAGTTTTAAAAATCTGAACATGTAGGGGCTGAGTGCAATTCTCCTACTTAGGTTTTACAGCAGTGTAACTCCACTGATGCTCATGAAGTTGCTCCAAATTTTAAACCATCATGAGAGACCAGAATCAGGCACGAAGAGTTTCAAAGTAGCCTCTTATTCAAAAGTCAGTGGTCTCAAGTTTGCACCAGCTGCTCTTTGGTTTGAAATGCAGGATGTATTGAAAAAAACTATTGCGCTGGGACACACCCTAGCATGCCAATGGGAGAAACATGCCTAATATTTTGCACAGCTGTGGGAACAGATCTCCTGGAGTTTGGCTTCTCTTCCCAAAAGCACGAGTGCTTTATGTAGCTAGTTCACATGTGGGTTGCCGTGCAAAGGCTCAGTCTCTTTTTGATGTTGGTGGGCACAGTTCCCTAAAGCAGCATCGGGTGATGAGGTGGAGAATCCTGGGAGAAAAAATACACATTTGGATTCATTGGAAATCTGACACAACCTTTGCTGGCAGAAGCAAAGGAATCAGTTCTTTTATCAGGGAGGCTGTGCTCATGCCATTAATGCTTATGGGAGAAACCGACGTGCCAAAAGGAGAACAGACTTTGTGGGGACATAGTAGAAGGCAAATGGAAGGACCAAGATCCACCAGAGGCCCGAAGTTCTCTGCTGTGGCAGCAAATTGATCAGATGGGTACTTCCACTTAATGCTAACTATTCTACTGATCCCTTTTCAATACAACCCTCTGATCCCATCACAAGAATCACTTAGAAGAGTTTTCTACCTGGTGTAAGGTCTCTTTATGTTTGTGGTGGGTGAAAAAAGGCAAAAATGGTGCAATATTTATGGGCCCTTCTGTAACTTGAGGCGCTCGGGACAATTTCTCTGGAAATCAGTTGATTTTTTTTTGTTTTGTTTGTTTTTTTGGTTCTGAGTTTGCCCTAACTGCCTGGTTGACAGTATATGAGGCTTGAGCTGGCACCCATAATCCCCATTCCAAGTGTACCAGTGATGGAAACCTTCATCTAGGTGCAAAAGTCTGACCAATAGAGAGGAAAGCAGCCTCACTGGACACTGGTGCATCATCAGCAACTGCCTCTCAGTGTTGGCTGACTGGACAAGGCTACTCAGCCTTGCTAATCTACTAAGCTTTGCACTCACACATCTTTGTATCACACAGTCACCTTCTCAACTGCCAGCAGATAGGAGTATACTCTAGGCAAGGCTGTGGTAGAACAGTACCAAGGAGGTAAAGGATGGAGATTGCTGTGTATCAGCTCCCCTCATGAGAGCCGTCATAACGCCTATGGTCACCTTAGCAGAAACCAGGTGTGCAGCCTGCTTCAAAGCCAAGCAGAGCAGAAATACCCTCTTGCTTATCTGAAACACACCACTTCAACTTCACTTGAGCTAGATCAAGACCAGGGTTCAGAAATGCAGCTATGCAAGTGTCCTGGTTCAGTAGGTTTAGGGTGTGGGAATGGATCTGTAACTCAGACTTTGGTCCTGGTTTTTAAGACATCGCTGAGGAGTGTGACATGATCTCTCTACTGCTGTGGGGACTCCAGATCGGGGGGGGGTGTCAAGGACTCCTAAAGGTGGGAAGCATCTTTTTGTTGGGGGGGCTGGTGAGACATTGCTGACCAGTGTATTTTGGTGATGCTAACTGGGCTGTGGTTATAACTGTCCATTCCTTCTTTCCCAGGCCCTCGCCCCTTCACATTACCAAGAACTCCTTTGTCACCAACCAACCAATTACAAACATATACTGTATCACTACATCAATTCCTCCTGCCACAGAGCTGATCACTCAGTGACAAATGCAACATTCCTCTCCACCCCACAGAGAGCAGTGGTTAATGAAATGTTCCCCATCCTCTTCCTGCGGGATGTCAGTGTGATCTAAGATTCTTGTAATACATCAACCACAGTCAATCAAATAATTATAACTTAAAAATGTCATCATCATATTTACCAGCACTGTTTAATTATTTTAATATTGTTTCCCACCCCTCAGTTCCCCACCCCCCTTGTTATATATATTATACATAACTTAAAAGCACATCCATATGAAACCCTTACAGGCTGCATCTTTATAAATGAAAAACCATATACATATATTTGTTTTTGTTTTGTTTCAAATTAGATCCATTCTTAAATACCTTCAGAAAAAGAGCTTGGATAAAGGGACAGAGGAAAGGGAAGGGAGGTTGGGGAGGAGCATAACAACTGAAAAATGATGCAATAGAACCAGCATGGAATGGGGAAGAGAGGTGGTTGCCACACATCCCAAATGCAAAAAATAATCATGAAAGAATCAAAACAGTTCAATGGTTCTCTCTCTTCTTTCCTTAGGTGGGGAATAGTTTTGTTTCCGCTTGGTTTCTTTTGTTTGTTTGTTTGTTTCTTGCTTTGTTGCAAAGCATCTTTCCTTTCCATTCAGTGTGCAACAAATGACCCCATGATCTGTGTATCCTTTAAATGGAACATGCAAAATGGCGGTTTGTTGTATTAATAAGATTATTATTATCATGATTTTTCTTATCAGTCCAGTCAAATTCATCACTTTCTCCGCAAAGGCTAAAAGAGGCGGTTGGTTTTGCTGTTATTGATGTTGCTGTTTGTAATTCATCTCATCTCCAGCTTATAGCAGCAGTGCAAGGATGCATTTTGTTTCTTGTGTGTGTGTATATATATATTTATATATATATAATATATATTCGCTATTCCTTTTTTTTTTTTTTTTTTTGTCTCTCGCCATTAAGGTTGCAGCCAGGATGTCTGTCTTGTTGACAAATCCAGCATGAAGGCCCCTTCTTCATTGTTCTCCAGCTTTGTTTGAATAGAGATGCCAATGTCGGTGAACATGGAGGTCAAGATTCCTGTACAAAGCAAATGTAAACGATCATGGAGTATTTCCTTTCTTATTTGGTCAATATAATTTACTGGTCTATTAAAAGGTTCTTGCTTATATTAAAACACTAAACAATGTTGCTCGAAACATACAGGGCTATATTTCATTCTCCATTCCATTGGTACCCCACAACTGAATTCAACTGATGTAAAAGCGTGATTCTGCAAGGTGCCATTGAAACTACTGAATGACTTTGCCTGTTCTGTGTTATGCAGGAGGTAAGATTAGAACAGAGGCTGGCAACCTATGGCCCACAGGATGGATTCAGCCAGCCAAGAACTCCATCCAGTCCATGAAGCCTGGATATCAGCAGCGTTTCTGCAGTATGTAAATTTGGAGACAGGGCTTCCCTGCTGTTGGGGAAATTCTGCAGCACTTGGCAGCAGCCAGGTCAGAAGTGCTGGCCTGCCTTGACCGTGCTGCATTATTATGACCTACTGCTCCTAGATTAGAGAATCAGAACAATCCCTCTGGCCTTACAGTCTCTGAAATCAGTTGAGGGCAAATGGGAGTTGAGGGCAAATGGTGCCTTGCAGCATCGGACCATGGCTAAGGACAGGATCTGGCCCAATGTGCTTAGGGACAACATGAGCACTCAGCTCAGCACTTTATGGCAGGGACCCAGCTTTTACAGCCTTCCTTCAGTGCAGTCTTGGTCTTTCTTTACTGTCATCATGGTGCTGCTGCATCCCTGTTTTCTCCAGGGCATGTCTACGCAAGATGCTACTGTGCAGTTGTTTCTGTGTGTTTATTGGGTACCTGTATTAGCAAGTACTAAATAAACGCGCAGTAACTGGAGTTACTGTGCAGTAGTGCTGGCGAATGTCTTTTAAGTGACATTATTGTGCAGTAACCTAATAATACTTTGTAGTAACATATTAGCACTGTTCGTGTGACGCACTACTGCGCAGTATTATTCGGCTACTGTTCAGTCAGCATGTCACGTGGACACGCCCTCTGATTATCTTGTTTTTCCTGTTTGAGCTCCTTATGACCTTTGCTAGCTCAGTGCTGCTGTTTTATTGCAGCTTCTGTTTCCTGAAAGCTAATCTGATGTGACCTGAGAAAAACAATACTAAAAAATGTAACAGATCTGGACTCTAGATATCTCTACTATCTGTCCAATGTAAACAAGTTTGTTTGAGATTACTGTCTTCTGAAGCTGACAGTTGCACCATGGTTAGAGTTTGCCCATTATGTCTAGGTATAGTGCTCCATTTAGATTCTGTCAGTTTCATTTATCCAATTAAGAAGTCCTGTTTAAGGAATGACTATGCAAGAAAACCTTAATGAAACTAACTCGTTTTTCAAACTGCCATCCTCCAGCCCTGACATTTAAGCCAAGACTATCTAGATCATGTAGAAAAGGAAAATGGAGCCAGATTTTCAAGAGGCCTCTAGAAATGCACCTGGACTTAAGTGCGAGTTCACAAGATTGCATGTGCAAACAATGCACGTTTGTACTGACAAATGGACAGTTATACAGAAGTGAACTTGGGAACTTGAGGAGGTATTAAATAACTGCTTCTTGCAAATGTAGGTCTTGTGATTTGTCCCGTGCTGGCAGAATCTGGGGAGTGAACTCCTCAGTTTATCCACAAAGTCAGGTAGCAGAATAAGCTTCCTGCAACAACCCCATCCACCAAGCTGGCTTATCCCTAGCCCCTAGAAGGACCTTGTAAGAATGAGAATGTTCTTCAAGCTCTACAATCAGTCTCTGGCTTCTCTGCTGACATTACCAATAACGGGACTAACTGTAGTGGTAGGCTTTCTAATAGTGATCAGGTGGAAGCAACCTTTGGTCACTGTCAGATTGGGCTGAATTTGAACTGGTGACCAGACATGCCATCACCATTTGTCTGAGCAGGCTAGTTCTTTCCAGCAAACATAAAGATCCATCTGCACTTATGAGTTCAGTCACAAGTGTGGCCATTTTGTAGGCCCTTTGAAAAGACATCCTGTGGTGTTCAGGAAGGAAGATGAATAAAGTACTGTACACTGAGGAAGTAAGCTATTGAAAAAGTGACAGAGGTCCCTAAGAAAGGCTTTACACAAAAAAGGGAGCTAAAATGCAATATGGCCCTTGTAATGGTCCCTGTGACAAACCTGGATTAAGAACATTAAGCACTGACGTGCTGCTCATACAGCTGTTTTGCAAGCTGGCGGGATAATTATCCTACAGGAATATCTCCCTGACTGCTGTAGGAGAGGCCTTTCAGAAAGCATATAGTATTTAGCTATGCTATTATCTACTGTAACAACAGGCAATCTGTCTGTTCCATCACCATGACTAAGAGGAGTTCCTGGCCTTTACTGGCATCTCTCAAGTCCCAACTCAAACTATTTACTGATACTGGTATACTGAACCTATGGAGGATGATGAAGGACATTCTATATATGTTGTCACCTCAGGGGTGTGTGTGTGTGTGTGCATGTGCACGTGTGTGCATGCGCATGTGTGTGTGCATGCGCGTGCGTGACCATGTGATAGGTGCTCTACCTTGGAACTTCTGTACATACCTGAGGCTTCTTGTCCCTTTCCTCTGGTGAAGGCTCTGTTTCTCTATATACCACAGCTTTGGTTACCAGCATGTCAGGGTGCTGCAGTTTGGCCTCTTTGATTGCCAAAGCTAATGCCTGTGAATCAGAATAACAATAAAACATTTGCCACTAATTCATTTAAGGCTTTCACTAGTATTTGATTTTAGCAGAGCTTGCTGTGTCCATTAAGGCCTCTCACCTCAAATAACCCTCCCTCTCACACCCTGGATTAAAAGATTCATTCAGGAAGGCAACCGCTCCCAGGGATTGCTGGACTGCAGATGGACTAGCTTTCATATCAGAGTAGAAAATGAGTACTGACAAAAACTGTCATGTGATAGTTCCCCAGAACTACTGACTATTTTCACACAGGCAGCTTCCTACCTGGTCTTGATCCACGTCTTCATCTCCCGTAATAATGATCCGCTTCTCTATTCTGGTTTCTGAAAACCCTCCTTTCACAGTCTGCAATGCAAAAGGGAACAGGATGAGGTCAGAGGCTGGATTAGGAACTTTATAAGCACTTGCCCTAAAGAACTACTGTGGCCTTTGTAGGTGGAGAACATGGCGACCTGATTGCTTGGTGGGAGGTGGACAAGGGGAACACTTCACAATATTGCTTTGCAGACTCAGCTAGTCTCATTCACATGAAGGCGCAGTTCAAGTTGCTGATGTTGATTCCTCCCTGGGATTAGCAACAGGATCTGCACTGTCTCCTCCCTCCCCATGCACTGCCCAAAAGGCAAAGACGAGCTGACCTGCTCTCACTCCAATATCGGATGCCTGGAGATGGGAGGGGAGGTGCTCTCAGAAAGACATTTCCATGCAGAAACGGCCTCTCTCCACTTAGCAACCAACGTCCAAATGGCACCCGTTTGGCATTGGATAGGTTGGGTGAGATATTAAAAAATGCTGGGCACTGCCCTTAACTGATCCAATAAAAGCTGGGGGGAGGCTTCAGTGGGAGCAGCATCAGGCCCTTGCCAAGTACTATAAGAATTCTACCCTACTGAAAACGTGTCCTGTTCCTTATGGCTCTGATTATAAAATCCCCCCTCCCTTCAAAAGCAACCACAGCTTGGCCCTGATGTGTTTACATATACGACACACACAGGGTAAATTCCCTTCCCTTCTTAAATGCAGAAAACAGTAAAAGAAAAAAAGCAAGCAAGAGATATATTGGCTCAAATCTACACTGCTGCTGCACCTCTTTAAATCTGCATTACACCTGGGATGAGTTTGGCCCATTAACTTGACATGGTAAATGGCTCTTGGACAATCACTATGTAAATGGCATAAAGGACAGTCTACTATGGGACAATGCACTTCCTGGCTACAGCTAGCTTAGACAGCAGTATCATTTCTCCTCATATGATCTGCAGTGTAATTCCTTTCTCCCCTCAGCCTTGTTGCTTTCTTTAGATATCCACATTCTATCCAGAAGCTGCTAAGTCCTGACCCATTCCAGGCTTCATCTTCTTACCTTCGTAACATGGGTAGTGGTGGAAGTCGAGAGGGTTTCTGCAGTAGCACCGAATATGCTGGTAAGACCTTCTTTTCCAGCAGTGGTGCTGGTGATCTACAGAATATGCAAAGAACATCCATGTCAACAGGACAGAGCACAGTGGGCCTGTGTGACGACTGCTACTTTCCTCTAGCTTGCTATCAGTATGGAACCTTGGACTTTAAGCTTTGGACCTAAGGATATATCATACAGCCATCCCTTGTTTCTTCATTCCTTCTGTCACATTCTCTTTTCCTTGCCTGTTCTGAGGCCAGTATTGTGACTCCCATATGATGTCATGCTACAGAGACTGGAAGGTAGGATTCATTTCCCTTGCCACTGTGCCCTTTCTGCTTCTCATTGACCTTCCAACATGGAGGAGTGGTGCTAGCCAGGGCCTTTCATTTTACAACTTTATGGCTATTTGAAGCTGAGCAGCAGACAACCCATCTCTGCTCTAATCAGAAGAGTCAAGGCCAGAAGCAGAAGTGGAGGGATGGAAGGTCAGGGTGCCTCTTCCATCTGCTCCCCAAGTGTCCACACTTCCTTGGGGCACAGGTCCTGTGAGGTGACCTCTCCAGTGGGCCTCACCCCAGACAGTGTAATCAAATGGGAAAGCAACTAAAAAGAAAGCACTGCCCTAAGGGCTGGGTTCTGTGAGGTGCTGAGTACTTCCTGTGAATTGCTGATCATCCTCAACTTCCACTGATGTCCGTGGAGATTGGGATTAACCCAGGGAAGAGAATTCTGTATTTGGTGCATGGTTTTTATTGAATCATAGCCGTAGCCCCTTAAGGCCAGAATCTTGTTTTGCAGGAAGGCCCCAAACAGCAGTTACCTATCTGCGTATTAGCATTTATGAAGTCTACACTTCTGCCACCTGGAGGTGCACGACCACATACATTTTAGATCCAGTCACCGAGCAGTTAGGACAGTCACCCAGGAAGTGTGAGATGCAGGTTCTAGGTCCCCCTCATCCAGGAACGGTTTGAACCTGTATCAGTTTGATGTCCCAGCCCAGTGCTCAAATGCCAACACCACAGGTCAGACATTATCCTCCTCTGGTATTTACCAACTAGTCTGGATCTTTGTTGGATAGAATTATGTGACATATGGTCACCCAGCATACATGCAGGCACAGCTGTGTACCTGCCTGGCCAGTGTGTTATCTAGTGCATACTGCACATGCTCAGTGGCTGTGGGGACACTTATGCATCCACCCTGCAAACTGTGCATAAGTGCTAAAAATGGCTGAACAGCTGCTATTTGGACCTGCAAAGTTAAATAGAATTCTGCCCTTTTGTGCTTCAAGACCTTCATGACATGAGACCAATCCCCAGAGGCTGCTGCTCACACAAAACTTCCAGGGGTCAATGGGATCTCAGTCAACCTAAGTTTCAGCCCAGGGCACCATAAGAACATAAGAACTGCCATAGTGGGTAAGACCAGAGGTCCATGTAGATCATCTCCTGCCTCCAAATGACAAGTAGTGGGTGCTTTAGAGGAAGAAACAGAGAAAGTTAAGAGTGACCTCTCCCCTGTCAACCCCTGCATGTTGTGTCAGTAGAACCTGCTGGGCCTATCAGTCCTTCAGAAATTCATCCAGCTCCAGTTAATGTTTTGTGTGTTGGCTTGGGACAGCAGAGAAGCCAAAAGCACCAGATTCCTGGTTCCATCTTGGTCTCCACTCCTTACATACAGTTGGGATTACCAACCCATTCTCCCTGTCCTCAGCTATAGGAATCACTCAGCCTACGGAGCTGGTGCTGCCCATGCTGATGGTAGAAATGCAGGAGAAGAGTGCCTGATTCCAGGAAAGGTAATGAAGGAAGTACTGAAGCAGCCTTAACTCAGAGCAAATTGCTAGCCTCTAGTGCTAGCATTTAACAGCCAGTCCAGCCTGCTAGCACATTCTGTGGACTTCTCTTCAGCAAAGGAACCTGGAAATTAGCAGCACATTTTCAACTCACCGGAGATATGGAACGAAGTTCTGTTGTGGGGCCAGTTCCCTTCCCCAACTTGGTGCTTGGATCCTGAAAGAACAACCCTTACACTGAAGCACTGGCAGACACACAGCAAGAAGGATGAAAAGGCAACTCCCTCTGGGAAGGGAGCACCAGTGAAAAGCCAGGTGTTAGATGCTGTCAACTTCTAGTGGCCAGAGGGCACTCCCATCCATCTGCTGACCCCAATGGGACAGAGCCCACCCTCCAAGCATCAGTTCTGCTTGGGGCTGCTCCTTTCCCCCATCATTTGGCAATCTAAAAAGGGGAGAACTACATTACATGCCACCTTCCTGGAGTCACATACTTACTGAGGTTGTTGATATGGTTTCTGTGGTGACAGTGTGGGAAGTGGCTATTGTCTCTTTTCCTCCTGTGGTGCCTCCTTCAGCCTGCCAAGGGAAGGAGAAATCTGGTAAATCTGTGAGGATTTAGCTGACAAGTGAGCTGCAGTCAGCAAGGACAGCAATTTGCTTTATACACTTGCTGATGAAAAGCTGGTTTCTTGGAGCAGTGATGCATGGTGACACTTCTGCTAATGGGGTAAGGAAGCTGCAGAAAGTTCTTATGGTCCCAGATACAAGGTCAGTGTCATGGTGCCCTATGAATGAGCTTGCAAATCACAGCCCCCTGTGTCCTGCAGCCACAAGTGCTGTGCACTTCTCCATGACTCATCTGCAGCCATGGAGAAGTGCACAGCAGCTCAGGAGAGGCAGTGAATGAACCCTGGATCCAAATGATGCATGCTGGAGTAGAGGAGTCGGGGCAGTGCTCCAGTGGAATGGTATGTGGACACTACTATGCTTGTGAAAAGTGCTATGGGCTCTTTAATGGCCTTGAGTGTATGGGGCTTTGTTGTGATGCCTCTAGATATGAAAACCCAGAATTTACAAAGGATTTTAAAAAACTGACATAACTGAGCAGTACATTTTGAAACCCTGAGTTGACTTCAGAGGTAGAATGTGAACAGATTAGAAAGAGTCCAGCAAAGAGCAACAAAAATGAATAGGGGCCTGAGAATGTGGAAAGGCTGAAAGACCTTGGGGTATTTTGTTTGGAGAAGAGAAGACTGAGGGTAGATTTGGTAACAGTCTTCAAATACCTGAAGGGCAATTTATAGAGAATGGAAGTGGGCTTTTCTCTGTGGCTACAGGGGACAAATGTAGGAACAGTGGCCTCAAGCTGCAAGAGGAAATTTAGGCTGGAGATTAAGAGGAATTTTCTTACTATGAAGGTGGTTGGGCATTGAAATAGGCTGTGGCCTTTCTATCCTTGGAAATTTTCAAAAGCATGTTGCATGGACACTTGGCTGGGATGGTTTAGTCAGGGATGACCCTGCTTTGAGCACAGGGCTGGACTAGAAGACGTTGTGAAGTCCCTTCCAGCCCTACTTTACTATAATCCTATTTGTGTGAAGGGGCTCCAATCCCCAAGGGGTGGGGCTAGGGGACGACTAGGTTTTGCTTGCCCAGCAGTCTGGGATTTTCTGGGGGCTTAGCTGGGACTTGCTGAGGCTCCATCGAGCACTTGGTAGGGCACAGCATACCTTCACGTTCTTTTCACCCAGCATCACTGAATCATAGAGTAAACCCTGATTCGCACAAAGGAGCAAGTTACCTGTGTTGTTTCCACCGATGTGAACCTCTGTTGCACAGAGGTCTCTGGTTCTGCCTTCTTCACACCAGATGCAGGGCTGACAGCCACAGCTTCTGTTTTCAAAACTGTTGACTGGGGAAGGAACACAGCAATTCAGCAACAGGTGGGGCTTTCTTTTAACAGGACGGAAGCGTGTTGGTTCCTCAGACTTGATTAAAATTACAACAGCACTGAGGCATGGACTGTAGCCTATGTCAGTATCCTCCCCCTAAGTCCATGGGCACAAAAACACCTGCCAGGAACTACTGTGGGTGTGAGTAAGCCAGAAGCAAGCCATTAATTAGCATGGGGAGCCTTTGTGAAGTCACTCTCTTAGAGAGCCACACAGCTCTTCCAAACTGGCATGCTAAGAGCCTGGGCTGAAGTCACCTGCAGTGCTGCCAGCTACTATGCAAGCTCCCCGACACATCTAGTTAAGTGCATCCCAATCTCAAACAGGTGCTCCTTCTGACTGAGGGACAGAAATATTATTGCCAGTACCTGCCCACACTCCAGTTACTACTGGAGAAAGGCAGGTGGAATTTCCTAAGAGCCCTGTTGAAGAAAGCTGCCCGAGGGATGGACTGACCCAACACACACCTAGCTGCCGGGTGCGTGCACCTTCCTTACTTCACAGATTGAGCTGGACTCTGCAGGCCATTACTGTAGAAGGGAGCTTGCAGCCAACTCCCCAACTGCAGACTCACCACTACCAGGAGCTTTTGCTGGGCTCTATGCCAGTGTGGTAGTGGATGAATTTTAGGCTTCAGCTTCCACAATGTGTTCTTCCCAAGGTTCCTGTGGGTAAAGGACACTACAAGCCCAGGCTTCAACTCAAAACCCCAGCAGAATGCCTCAGAAGAACTGGATTAATTTTCTTGAATTCTTCCCCTGAAGGAGTTGTAGAAGCCAAGATTATCTTGCCTTGAGCAGGTGGTTGGACCAAATGATTTCATGAGGTCCCTTCCAGCCTTACTTTCCTATGAGCTTATGAATTTCTAATTCTCCTTAATGGCCAGTGCAGAGCTGCATGGGGTTAACTTACCTTCAGGCAGAGGATTCACTAGCCTACCCAGGAGTTACACAACCACCTGGGGCATGAAAATGAGGACTCCAGTGAAAGGCCACACACTAGTATCTGGGTGCAACTGCCCTAATGTCAAAAGCAGGGAATCTGGTGCTTTGGCTCCAAGTGCTGGGACATACAATCCAATCAAAGAGACACCACTCAAGGGAGATGCAACTCCATGGTGAGGGACTGAGGAGCTGAACCCTGTTCCAGATCTGCAGGGTTCACCTGCTGGGATCCTGCCTCTACCCCTTTTCACTATGGAAACTGGTCAACTTTTGTTCCTGTGGCCACTCTATCTGCAATTTGTTGAGCCTGGTGACAATGGAAGTACTTGCCCAACAGGAAACACCAGAGATTTCTGGGGCCTATCCCACCAGCCTTTGGGTAAGTGGCTAAGTGGCTCCCCCCTCACCTTTATGATCACAGGTTAGTTCGCAGTACATGTGTCTCAACATGCATGCTATTTGTTGAACTCATGCAACACAAAGGGGCACAGCTTTTGGTTAAGAGAGACACCCACCCATCATATATCCTTCTACGGTACAGGTGTTGGAGCTGTCACCCAAACACAGTGGATTACAGGAAGATGATGATAATGATGATGACAACTTTTTTGGTTAGAAGATACACAAACACTTGCACTACAGAATCATGCACCTGGAGGAGATGAAAACAGCCATGCAAAACAGATGACAACATTCATTAGGGCAAAACAAAGCCACTTGAAAGGATCCCAGGGCTGTTTAAAAGCTGGCATGCTTTTCCAAACAGACATGTGAAGGGCATGCTGATCAAGCAATGCCAGATACCAAAACAAAGAACATGGTGAGATGAAGACACAAACAAATCTTGATGGTATGGCTTCCTTCTGTACCTCAAAATGGGACACTTCTGACACATGGTAGAAGACCTTCTCCCCTTCCTTGGCACTTTCTTCCTGGCCAGGAGCTATTTTGTCAGCATCCTGAGAGGAAATTGAACCTTCAGCTTCTGTCTCACTCTTATCTCTATCCAGCTCAGGCAGACTTCTGGAGATGTCTTCAAAGGCTGTGCCATGGAAGTCACTGATAACTGTAAAGTCCACCTCTGCTTCCAGACTGGATGTCGAGCTGACGGTAATGCTTGAGCACTTACGCTCGATGGCCAGATGGTTGTCCTTCAAGAAGACTGAATCCTTCTCCTGGTCCTGCTCCTCGTCCCCGGTGTCACTTTCAGGAGCCTTGTGCCGAGGCGGCTTAGCTTTCTCGTCTGCACCCTCCCTCAATCCTGCTCTCTGAATGAGACACAATGACGGAGAGAAGCTAAGACTGTAAGTACCAAACAGGACAACAGAGCTGGCTTTGCCAAGAGGAGAGAGGGGGAAGAAAAGGAAAGAGGTGGCTGGGGAAACGTCACAGCGTGGGATTGAAACACAACTCAAACATGGAAACCGAAACCTTTTTGACAGCAGCAAGTTTGCAGAGGGAATAGTTCAGTTTGATTTGCAAAAAGCAATTAGAAAAATCAATACTAAAAAAAGGACTGGTCAAATAGAAATGCTCCAACACGTCCAGGGGCACATCACTGAGCCTGACGGAAGCATATGTGTACAAAACAACAGGTATGTTTTGATATACGTATAAATGGCTCAGAGTCTAGCCCCATCAGACATCAGTAAAGTTTGGCACAAAAACAAACAAAGAAGGGAAAAGAGGAGAGGCTAAGAGTCTGAATGCAAGAAAAGAAAAAGGCCCCATCAGCTGCATACATTCAAGGAGAAGCAAAGGAGCTTGTCAATTTCACCGAAATCACCCCAACAGGAGTTTTAGGCTCGTTGGGTTTGGGCATTGCTCTTGTTTTTATGTGCTCATTTTTATCAGATATATGGAAGGAAGGGTCAGTGCAAGCTCATGGCTGCCCCACAAGCGGGATGGCCAGGACCTCTGCCCGCAGGGCCTGAGCTGAAGGGAGTGCTTGTGTAGAAACCATTTCAGCCTATGTAACACTTCCCCAAAGGTCACTTCACATTCAGAAAGGACCCATTACAGATGAACATATTGCTTGTTTAATCAGTGTAATTGACAACAAGATCAGAGCAAAGGGACACCCTCCCTCTGCTAACTCCTCTTTATATACATACCTCTCACCTCTCCCATCAGAGGGTAAATTTCACCCTGACCCTGCTTGCCATTCAGCCATCAGAAAACTCGAATTACTCCTTTGTTTCATTTTACACAGTGATTAAGGAGAAGCTTTCAACCCTCTTTAAAGATTCTCCTCTATTATGGCCTGACCCAAAGCCCCCTGATGTCAAAGGAAAGGCTCCCAGTGACTTCAGGCGGGTGGCAGATTGGGCCTACATGTGCAGACATATCCCTCAACCTGGCCCCAAGTTGGGTGCTTTTTTGTCTGTGTTACTGGTAGGTTGAGAGGTATGAGAAACGGGGTTTCAAACAAACTCAAGAGGAGCACATATATGTATATGTATATATATATCTATATATATAGCAGCTCTGCAATGGGGAAAGGAGTCAAAAGCATACAGTCCTCAGCTGGTTAAGGTGAGCTTTCGTACTATGGTAAGAAGCAGTTAGTAAAACAGCACTGAGACCTGGGAGACCACTGGAACAGCAGTCTTTAAACTCTCTTCTCTCGGGGTGGCTTTTATAGATGGGCCAGATAAATCCTTTTCTTCCCAAGATGGTTCCTGAGATTTGCTCTGGATTAGAGAAAAGGGTTAGTCTTAAGGAGCAGAAATAACTCTACAAGGAACTGCTCTAGTGTCTTATAAGTGCGGTAGAAAGCTATTTCATCATCCAGCCACCAGCTTGCCGAAGACAGGGGAGGAGGGCGTGGGGCTGACAAGCCAAGCAAGAAGGGATATCAAATTAAGAAATGCAAGGGTCAAGCTGGAAGCGTGGGAATGTTGCTGCTATGTGTGTGTGTGAGTGTGTGGCAGATATAAAGCTCTCTGGTCCACCCTCCCAGCCCCTTCTTGCTCCAGGGCATGAAGCTTGTGTGCCCAGTTTCACGTTAGCAGCTGCCATTCTCCAGGTGGCCAAACTTGTCAGGAATTCACAAAACAAAAGCTGATGAACCGACTGGCCAGCAGGTCTGCATTCAGCAAATGAGCCAGACCACATACACATACATAAAGGACAGGGAATGCAAAGCGACCGCTCTCAGTCAATGGATGTGTGAGGTGCCATTTAACATGATAATAAAGAGCCACACAACATGCGTATGAACTTTCCATCGGGACAGTTCATCGGAGAAGTTACCACAGCTTCTGCCAGTGTGAGTTCACAGCCGGAATCAGGGGAAGCGAGTCCAGTATCATCTTCCCCTTCATGCTCTGAATCAATGGAAATGTCTTCCTTTGAGGATGGAGGCTGGGAGGGATCTCTGCTGGCTGCTTCTTGTATGACAGCTAAGGCTCCCACACTGGACACTTCCCCAAGGTGTATGGCTCTGTCATCTGAGGTGCCTGAGAATGTGGGAGACGGAGAAAGGCCTATGTCTGACTCCAGGTAACGAGGCAGCACCAGCTGATCACAGGCTGTTCCTGATAGTGGCTCAGTTTCAGGAGCACGAGCTTGTAGTCCTGCTTGGGCTGCCCTTCGCTCACCAAAGTCTGAGCCGCAAGCTTCGCCTTGCTCAAACATCTTAATTTTAGAAGCCACCGACGTCTGCTCATATGTCTCGCTGCCCCTGCCCAATGAGGTATGCCAGCCAGCTGGGATTTCAGGCAAAGCCAGCTCCATGGGAGCTTCTTCTTGACTCATGGCTTCCACAGCCCTGACCATAGACTTCACAGACCCAGACTCAGGTTTCTGTTTCCTACTGGTAGTTTGTGGGTCTTTGCCAACTCCAGCTGTAGAACTAACAGGCCCAGGCAATTCTTCATTTCCCTGCAGTGGGTGAGGGTGGGCAGGAACAGTGTCTGTTTCTTCCAAGGATGTTTTAACCTGGGTTGCCTGTCCTGGAGCAGGACCATTCCCAGGGGATAGCTCTCTCACCTTGGGGCCTATGAACTGAGGCACTTCTGCTGCCATGGGGCCTTTGTCCTGAGGGGGCTCAGGCGGTTCTCTTGCCGTGGGACCTTTGCTTTGGGGCAGCTCTTCAGCCACGGGGCCTTTCTCTTGGGGCAGTTTTCCTGTCACCAAGCCTTTAACTTGAGGTTTTTCTCCTGCCATGAGGACTTTGTCTTGAGGAGGCTCTTCTACCTGGGGGCTTTTGTCTTGAGGCAGCTCTCCAGCCATGGGGTCTTTGTTTTGGGGTAGCTCTCCTACCATAGGGCTTTTACTCTGGGGTGGCTCTGCCACCTGGGGGCTTTTGTCTTGAAGTGCCTCTCCCTCCTTGGGGCCTATATCTTGAGGTGGTTCTCCTGCCATGGGGCCTTTGTCCTGAGGTGGCTTGGGCAGTTCTTCTGCCACAGGGCCTTTGCTTTGGGGCAGCTCTCCAGCCATGGGAGTTTTGTCTTGAGGTGGCTCTCCTGGCATGGGGCCTTTAATTTCAGGCAGCTCTCCAACCTGAGGGCATTTGTCTTGGGGAGGCTCTCCCACCTGGAGGCCTCTGTGTTGAGGTGGCTCTTCCGCCATGGGGCCTTTGTGTTGAGGTGGCTCTCCTGCTTGGGGGGTTTTGTCTTGAGGCGGTTCTCCCGCCTGGGGCCCTTTGTCTTGAGGCGGTTCTCCTGCCATGGGGCCTTTGTCTTGAGCCGGTTCTCCTGCCAGGGGCCCTTTGTCTTGAGGTGGCTCTCCTGCCACGGGGCCTTTGTCTTGAGGTGGCTCTCCTGCCAGGGGCCCTTTGTCTTGAGGTGGCTCTCCTGCCAGGGGCCCTTTGTCTTGAGGTGGCTCTCCTGCCAGGGGCCCTTTGTCTTGAGGTGGCTCTCCTGCCAGGGGCCCTTTGTCTTGAGGTGGCTTGTCTTGAGGCGGTTCTCCTGCCATGGGGCCTTTGTCTTGAGGCGGTTCTCCTGCCAGGGGCCCTTTGTCTTGAGGTGGCTCTCCTGCCACGGGGCCTTTGTCTTGAGGTGGCTCTCCTGCCACGGGGCCTTTGTCTTGAGGTGGCTCTCCTGCCAGGGGCCCTTTGTCTTGAGGTGGCTCTCCTGCCATTGGGCTTTTGTCTTCAGGCAGCTCCCCTGCCTGGGGGCCTTTGTCTTGAGGCAGCTCCTCCGCCTGGGAACTTTTTACTTGAGGCAGCTCTGTGGCCACTGGGCTTGTGTCTTGGAATGGCTCTTGCACCATGGGGCCTTTGTCATGGGTTAGATCTTCTGCTATAGAGCTTTTATCTTGGGGCAGTTCTCCCACTACAGGGCCTGTGTCTTGAGGCGGCTCTTCTGCAGCGAGGGCCCTTGCTTCCTGGTCCTCCGGTTCTGCGGCACTGGGAAGGGCCTGCTCTGGGACCACCACGGGGGTAACTTTAATTTCAATAGCTTCCATCTGAAGAAACATTTTGGATGTTTCTGATTCATCTAGCTCGCCTGTTTCTACTTCAATTCCTGAGTTTATGCAAATCACTTCCCCTTTCAACATCAGGCCACCTCTATCCTGCTTTTCTGACCCTTTCAGGCTTTCTCCCATGATAAAGCACTGTGTTGCCCTGTCCTTTTCTTCATGCTGCTGGGAGATCTCAGACTCTCTGCCTTCACTGGATGGTGAACCAAACTTTAATTCTGGGATTGGCCTTTGGTGGTCCCATGCCCTCGATTCCACTGCTATAGACCATGCACTGGAGTCACCGTTACCTTTTGATTCATTGTCTGTTGGCTCAGGAGACTTCTTTTCCACTCGTGCTGGTGAACCTGCCTGCTCCTCTAGGGTAAAATATCCTTCCAGCTGTGCACCATCATGATGTTCTAGACCTGTCTCATGCTGGTCTGATTCTGTCACTGGTTCACTGGTCTCTGGCTTTCCTTGGTCATCTGCTGGGGTAGTAGGATGAGATTTGTCCTTTCCTTCTGTAACTGCTGAGGCAGAAGCTGGCTCAAGCTCTGGGCTCTTTCCTTTGGCACTAGAAATGTCTGCTTTGATTTCCATGCCCTCTTTTTCATCAGAAGAAGGCTTTCCTTTCTTTTTTGTTCTGAGATGGATTGTACTCTCCTTCTCATCTCCTTCTATACACCCTAAGTAGATGATCCTTTGTGCAGGAGAAGACTCTGTCTTGTCATCACTAAGCTCCACTTTGGCTTTAATGCCCTCAGAGGTAGGTATTTTGGACTCCTCCTTATGCAAGGCTGGTGAAATAGACCCAGGTTCCTCCACAGACATCTTCCTTTTTTCCTCTGGTAGTTCTGAT